GGCGGAAAAGCGCGCCATCTCTCCGTCGATTAAAGAGCCGTCCGTGGTCCCCATCGAAGGTAAGTCGGACCCCAGACTCCCCCTGAGGATGTCGCCCACCCTGTCCCTCCCCCGGGGATCCGGGGGGCCACTTCCAGGCCGAGCACTGGGGGAGGGGGGTGGGGGGCCTGCACCTCTTGTGCCTCCGAATTCTGTCGAGTGCGGTGACCAGGACAGAGGCACAGCCCCGGATCCTGTTGTTGACACCAAGCCTCCAGTTCTGCAGCCCAGCCTGCCCCGCTTCCTGCCTCACGTCCCCATGGATCCTCCCTGGTGGCTCCGTGACCCATAGGTCAGATCTGTCAGCTGTCAAAGGGCCGCAGAGGTTGGGCGTCTAGGTGCTTGCTGACAGCTTTGGGGAGGGGCCTCATGGAGGGCGGAGGGCTCGCAGGCGGAGGGTCATGGAGAAGGACCGCCAGGCGGAGGCCCACCCGCCCGGCAGCTGGAGCTGTGCTGGGGAACAGCGAGGCCTGGCCCGTAGGTCAGAGCTGTCAGCTGTCAAAGGGCCGCAGAGGTTGGGGGTCTAGGTGCTCGCTGACAGCTTTGGGGAGGGGCCTCATGGAGGGCGGAGGGCTCGCAGGCAGAGGGTCCTAGAGAAGGACCGCCAGGCGGAGGCCCACCCGCCCAGCAGCTGGAGCTGTGCTCGGGGGAACAGCGAGGCCTGGGTGCACGCGGGGGTCAGGGGTCAGGGGTCAGGGCCCAGGCCGGTGGTGCTCGACTCGGTGCCACTAGGGACCCCGGGGACCGCAGGGTCGGGGACACGGCTTTGGAAGTGAGTCAGGCGACAGCTGCCCCTGCCCTTGACCTTCGTCAGGGGCCTCACCTGGGCCACTGGCGCTGGCGGAGCCTGAGCGTCTACAGGGCTGAGGCCGCGACGCTCACTTACTGGCCGAGCTCCGTGTGTTGGTTTTTAGCATCACCTCCCTGGAAGGTGGTGGTGAAGATAAAAGTGAAATGTGGTTACTTAAGAACATTCTGGATGGTAACCGACTGTATAGTTTTTTTTACTGGTTTGAGAGAGAGAGACACCGATCGCTGCCTCCTGCACGACCCCCACGGGGAGGGAGCCAGACCCCGGGCCTGTGCCCTGACTGGGAATTGAAGGGCCGGGAAGACGCTCAGCCAGCGGAGCCGCACCAGCCCGGGCACGTTTTCCGCAGAACAGGGAAGAGGCTGCTCCGCTGTTTAATGTCCGGCCTTGAGGGTGTCGTCAAGGCGGGGCCTTGCTCACTCCCAGTCCCTCCGACCCGCCCTGTGGGCACCTAGCAGGTGGGCAGTAACTAGCAGGTGGGACGACTCTCTGTGGGGAGGCAGGTGCCAGTGCTAAGCCTGCAGCTGAGGAAGTTAAGAGAACAAATGCATGAAATTCTAAAGGCTCTTTGCAAAGACACTGAAGCAGGCGCCTGTGCGGGGGTGGGGTAACCATGAGGGACAGACCCCCCACGGGGCGGCCGCCACTGGAAAGAAGAGTAAGGCTCTGAATGGCATTGTGCTCATTAATTTGAAAACTTGGGACGAATTGACCAACTTAAAGAAAAATAGACGTGTTGCGGGACAAGTCGGGGAGAGGTGTGGGAGGCAGAGAGAGGTCAGGAGGTGGCTGGTCCGCACGTAGGCCATCGGGCGCCGCGCCTGCCCGGCTGTCACTGTCCTGCTCGTTCCGTGAGTGGTCGAGCCCCTGCCCTGCTCCCCCTGCTGGGGACTGCTGTTCCCGGAGCAGCCAGCGGGGCCATCGCCCGAGACCCTCGCTTGTGGGGTGGCCGGTCCCGTGGCTTTGGGGGGAACCTGATGGGCAGCCTCTGCGCCTCCTGCTCTGCAGTCCCGCCCCCGGCGCTGCTGGACGAGATCGAGGCTGCCGAGCTGGAGGGCAACGACGACAGGATCGAGGGCGTGCTGTGTGGGGCCGTGAAGCAGCTGAAGGTCACGCGGGCCAAGCCCGACAGCACCCTGTACCTGAGCCTCATGTACCTGGCCAAGATCAAGCCCAACATCTTCGCCACAGAAGGGGTCATCGAGGTGAGGGCGGGCGGAGGGGAGCAGGCCCGGGCTGTGCTGCTGCTCCCTCCCAGCCACGCACACGCGTGCACATGCACACGCACACGCACACGCACACGCACATGCCCTCCCCCGGCAGCTGGCTCTGCCGTGTGCAGGCGAGGCTGACCCGGGCGCCGTCTCCCACAGGCGCTCTGCAGCCTCCTGCGGCGGGACGCCTCCATCAACTTCAAGGCCAAGGGCAACAGCCTGGTGTCCGTGCTGGCCTGCAACCTGCTCATGGCCGCCTACGAGGAGGACGAGAACTGGCCCGAGATCTTTGTCAAGGTGAGTCACCACCACTGTTTGGGGTGAAGAGGACTGAGTGCCCGGGAGAGGAGGAGAAAGAAGCAAACGGCGTTCCCTCGGGGGTGGCTGTCTGACGGCCCTGGACGTCTCTCCTGCACGGGCCGCTGGCGGGTTCCTGGGAGCCCCCTCCAGGCAGCTGGCAGCGTGTGGGAAAGCACTTGCCTTGCTTCTCCCCACGGCCCAGCGCTCGAGCTGCCCGGGGCCTGGACGTCAGCCTCTGTCCCCGCAGGTGTACATTGAGGACTCCCTGGGGGAGCGGATCTGGGTGGACAGCCCGCACTGCAAGGCGTTCGTGGACAACATCCAGACAGCGTTCAACACCAGGATGCCCCCCAAGAGCATGCTCCTGCAGGGGGAGGCCGGGCGCAGCGGAGGGGACCTCAGTGCTGGTGAGGGAAGCCGGTCCGGCTGGGGAGGGAACGGGGTTTTCAGCGGAAGGGGGGGCTGGGGTGACTCCCGCCAGGGAGCCCGGCATTAGGGGAGTAGGTGCTCGCGGGACAGGCGGGTGCATGTTCCATGAGGCCTCCATCTGCAGGGAGCAGCCCGCACCCCTCCCTCACTGAGGAGGAGGACAGCCAGACGGAGCTGCTCATCGCCGAGGAGAAGCTGAGCCCGGAGCAGCAGGAGGGCCAGCTCATGCCCAGGTAGGTGCGGCCCGGCCCCAGCTGTGAGTGTGAGTGAGTGTGCATGTGAGTGTGTGTGTGAGTGTGTGTGTGAGTGAGTGTGCATGTGAGTATGTCAGTGAGTGTGTGTGTGTGAGGGAGGGTGCATGTGAGTATGTCAGTGAGTGTGTGTGTGTGAGGGAGGGTGCATGTGAGTATGTCAGTGAGTGTGTGTGTGTGAGGGAGGGTGCATGTGAGTATGTCAGTGAGTGTGTGTGTGTGAGGGAGGGTGCATGTGAGTATGTCAGTGAGTGTGTGTGTGTGAGGGAGGGTGCATGTGAGTATGTCAGTGAGTGTGTGTGAGTGTGTGTGTGTGTGTGAGTGAGTGTGTGTGTGTGAGTGTGTGTGTGTGAGTGAGTGTGCATGTGAGTATGTCAGTGAGTGTGTGTGTGTGAGTGAGTGTGTGTGAGTGAGTGAGTGTATGAGTGTGAGTGTCAGTAAGTGTGTGTGTATGTGTGTGAGTGAGTGTGAGTGTGTGTGTGTGTGAGTGTGTGTGTGAGTGAGTGTGCATGTGAGTATGTCAGTGAGTGTGTGTCAGTGTGTGTGAGTGTGTGAGTGAGTGTGTGTGTGAGTGTGTGTGTGAGTGTGTGTGCATGTATGTCAGTGAGTGTGTGTGAGTGTGTGTGTGTGTGTGTGTGTGTGTGAGTGAGTGTATGTGTGTGAGTGTGAGTGTCAGTAAGTGTGTGTGTGGGGGGGGCGGGGCTGGCTGGAAGGCAGGCGGTGGGCTCTGAGGAGAGCCGCCCTCCCTCCCTCCTGCCTCCTCCCTTCCTCCCCTCTGGCCTAGGTATGAAGACCTCACGGAGAGCGTGGAGGAGTATGTTCTGGACATGCTGCGGGACCAGCTCAACCGGCGCCAGCCCATCGACAACGTCTCGCGGAACCTCCTGCGGCTCCTCACCTCCACCTGCGGGTACAAGGAAGTGCGGCTGATGACGGTGCAGAAGCTGGAGATGTGGCTGCAGAACCCCAAGGTGAGGGCAGCACGCAGGGTCGCCTCCTGGGCCCGGCCTGTGGCCGAGCCTCGGGGCTGGTGGTGACTCGGCCTCCCTGCAGCTGACGCGGCCGGCCCAGGACCTGCTGATGTCCGTGTGCATGAACTGCAACACGCACGGCGCCGAGGACATGGACGTCATCTCCCACCTGATCAAGATCCGCCTCAAGCCCAAGGTTCTCCTCAACCACTACATGCTCTGCATCAGGTGCGGCCGGGGCGGGAGGGCGGCCGGGGAGGGCAGC